CTTCACATAGTCTTTCCTCTATGCATGTACAGCCATGGTGTCTCTTTGTGTGTCCAAATTTCTTATAAGAATGCTAGTCAGATTGGTGTGGGGCCCACACTAATAGCTTATTTTCACTTAATCGCCTCTTTAAAGGCTCTGATCCCAAATACAGTCACTTATGAAGTTTGAGCTTGAAAGTATGACTTTCTGGGGAACATATGTCAGCCCACAACAGTAAGTGACAGAATAAGAATATAAATGTAGGTACTGCATAAAAGGCCTCGTGTGTGTGTGTGTGTGTGTGTGTGGTAAAGTAGGTCCATCACAGTCTCTCTATGAAAGCAAACATCTTATACTCTTCAAGAATAGCTGAATGTGAGTGGAAAAAAAAGTAATATGAGCCAGAATATCCTAGCTTTGAGACTGTTAAGTATGAGAATGCAGTGTAAAATAGCAAGGGATTCTGATAACAGCAATGTTGTCATAGTTTTAGAATCTCCTGAAATTTCCCGATAAGTACAGGTAGAACAACTACAATAGCAAAGCAAAAACCTGACACACAACATCTATAACAAAACTAAGTGATATGTTATTCACATAAACTACCAAAATAGGAGCAGGCACATACAAACTACTGATAGTAACAAGACCCACATATTACTAACGCCAGTATGAGGGGAAACAGGGCAGAAGGGCAAAGGCAACCAGAGGTCTGACTGGTTTGTGAAATAAGAACCTCAAAACTGCAAGAAGTACTTACTGAAAAGTGCAACAAGTCAATGTGAGCACAGCAGCCAAAACTATGAGGGGAATTCAACGAAACCTGAAGGTATTGGAGTAGTCTGGGCCCTATGAACACTTAAAACTAACCAACAACAACAACAAAAAACCTTTACCAGGACAAAAGCTTACAGTAATGAGAAACTGCTGGAAGTATAATCCAAATCAAAGAAGAAAGGATCAATACAGATAAAGGAAAGAGAAGGTACAAATAAAAGTGGGGATACAACACCAAAAGCACCATCCGTGAAAAAAAGATTGGTAAACTAGACTTCATTAAAATTAACAGTGTCTGCTCTGCAAAAGACATTGGTAAGAGAATGAGAAGATAAGCCACAGACTGGGAGAAAATATTTGCAAAAGACATATCTGATAAAGGACTGATACCCAAAATATACAAAGAACTCTTAAGCTCCACAATAAGAAAATGAACTCAATTAAAAGACAGGCAAAAGATCTAAGTAGATACCTCACCAAATAAGATATACAAATGACAAATAGGTATAGTAAGAGATGTTCCACATCACATGTCGTCAGGGAAATACAAATTAAAACAATCATGTGTGTCCATGAAAATACATAGAGGAAACTTAAATGTATATTTACATTTAAGTGAAAGAAGTCAACCTGAAAAGGCAACATATCATGATTACAATAATACAGTAATCTGGAAAAGGCAAAACTATGGATATAGTAAAAAGATCTCCAGTTGCCAGGAGTGGTGAGAAGAATAATAGGTGAAACATAGGAGAATTTTAGGCCACTGAAACTGTTCTGTATGATATTATAATGGTGAATACATGTCATTACACATTTGTCAAAACCTACAGAATATACAGTACAAAGAACAAACCCTAATGTAAGCTGTGGATTTGAATCGACAATAATGGGTAAATGCTGGTTCAGAGACTGTAACAAATGCCACACTGATTTGGGATATTGACGGTATGCGAGGTTGTGTGGAGAGGGGGAGAAAATATGTGAAAGAAAAATGCTAGTAAATTTCGGAAAACAAGTTCATATTTTTGATACTTTGAGAAAATCATAGAATAAGGGACTCTGGGTATATGATTTAGACAAAAAGGCTAAAGAAAATCTATTCTGCAGATTCCAGTTTTGGACAAGTTGAAATAGACTCTTCATCCTAGGTACATCAAAATTTTCTGGGTATTATATATCCAACAAACATAAGATGTTTCTAAAATGTGAAGAGAAAATAAACCAGATAAGGACCTTGGAACCTGACAAATGACATGACAGGGAGCTCCCTGAGTGTTGTTTTTTGCCTCATATCTCCTAGATTAGGTGCTAAAGAAGCCAGCAACTCAGAGACATCCAAGGGTATAAAGGAGCAAAAAATCCATATGAAACCTGCTTTTTCAAACCAAAGGGCCAGCATAGGAAAAGCCTAGCAATACAGAAAACTTCTAAGCAATAGTCGCTTTTTCCCAGCCAAATACCATAGAAAACTCTGCAGGTCCTCAGCTCTATTCCCATCAACAAAGGCCAAGTGGTGAGTCTGTACTTCAATATACCCAGCAGTAATAAAGCCCCCACATCCTCCCCTCTCAGTGGTGGTGGAAGAAACCTACTGGGAAGATGGAGTTGTTATCACCTCCCAGCATGAACTGGTTCTCCCCCCATGGTATCAGTGGAGGTGAGTAACAAGGTACCCTACCTCTCTCAGCCAAACTGGTGAGTGAGGATCCTCAACTCTCATCTCTGCCTACCAGTGATGAGACACCCTTCCTTTCCCAGAGAGGGTAACTGAAAGCTGAGGAGAAAACCTAGACTTCCAACTCCCACCCAGCAGTAACAAAGAGGTTCCCTCACAGTTTATGAGGTTTTTTTAGAGTTCTTTTTTAAAGAGTTCCCTTTAGTGCAGTAGTAGGAGCAGCCTGCTAAAATAGCTTTAAATAAAATCCAAAATGAAAAAAACAGAAAGTCTAAAAAATAAAGTCTAGAAAATATAGAGAAAACCAAATGGACATTTTACAACTGAAAACATAATAACCAAAACAAAAAAGTCAATGGATATTCTCAATAACAGAATGAATATGAAAGAGGCAAGAATCAGTGAACTTAAAATAGAAATGATCCAATCTGAACAACAGAGATAAAACTGACTGAAAAAAATCTCTTAAAGAAAATAACTCATGTCATATAAAATGAAAGTGCAAAAGAAACTCAGCAGGTGTCCCTCCTGCCCTGATACACTCTGTAAACAACTCCAGGAGGGACTGGTACCACTCCAAAATGACTTCTGCCCTGGGGAGAGGAGAAGATAGCCACACATACCAGTGCACCCACAGTTCCAGTGGCCAAACCTAATAGCTGGCAGCACAGAGAGGGTGCCCTGTTGATCAGTCCAACTGTAGCCCCAGCAGGCAGACTGGGGACAGACATCTGGTCTGACTGCTGACACCACTCAACCACAGCCCATGGCCACCCCAGACTAAACCCCTTAATGGCACAAGGACCAAACTCTGCCCAGTGCACCCATAACAAGCAAAGTGGGCCATTGTAGCCAATTGGACTAAGGGCAAATGCAACTCAGTCACAATAGTAGGGTGCAAGCATCCCGCACAGGACACACCCCTGAAGCACCTGCTTCTGGTGAATAAGGAGGCACTGCATTATAGGCCACAACAGGACCTCCTCTTCATAAGGCCACTACTTTCAAGATCAGGAAACATAGCTGACTTCATTAATACATAGAAAAAGCACAGAGTTAGACTAATGAGGAGACCGAGGAATATATCACAAATGAAAGAACAGTACAAATCACAGCAATACAACTAAATGAAAGAGGTAAGTAATATGCATGACAAAGAATTCAAAGTAATGGTCATAAAAATACTCACTGGACTTGAGAAAAGAGTAAAGGATTTCAGTGAGACCTTCAAGAAATAGCTAGAAAATATAAAACAGAACAAGTCAGAGATGAAGTAAGTAACTGAAATTTAAGAAAACACACACTAGGGGGAATCAATAGCGTATTAGATGAGGCAGAAGAACAGATCAACAACTGGAGGACAGGATAATGGAAAGCAACCAAACTGAGTAACAAAAAGGAAAAACAGATAATAAAAAATGAGAACAGGTTAAGGGAACTGAGTAATACCATCAAGCATAATAAAATTTGCATTGATAGATCCCAGAAGGAGAAGAGATAGAAAAGGGGCAGAAATATTATTTCAAAAAAAAAGAGCTGAAAACTTCATTAATCTGGGGAAGGAAATAGACACTCAGATCCAGCAAACATAAAGAATCCTCAAAAAACTCAACTTAAGGATGTCCACACAAGACACATAATAATTAACATGGCAAAATATAGTGATAAAGAGAATTTTAAAAGCAGCAAGAGAAAAAACAATTACATACAAGGGAAGCCTCACAAAGCTATCAGCTGATTTTTCAGTAGAAACTTTGCAGGCCAGAAGGGAGTGGTCATGATATATTCAAAGTGCTGAAAGAAAGAAAAAAAAAAAAACCCAAAAACTTGCAACCAAGAATATTGCAGAAAGGCTATCATTCAGAATAGAAGGACAGATGAACAGTTTCCCACACAAACAAAAGTACATATTGCATACTTGAGAAAATCAATCTAGTGTGGGAAGCCCTGAGCTATACAATACTAAATCTAAAGAATCTAAAGGAAAAAAAGTACTTTAGGCATCTAGTCAACAATTACAGAGTATACAGTCTTTTCAAGACAGACTATGCTGGGTCATAAAATAAGATTCAAACAAATGAGTACAATATATCTAAATTAGAGCTCAATAAGATATTAAAAATATAAGATATTAAAAATATATTTCTAACAGCTCATTTGAAAGAAGATAATCACACAGATAAATAGTAAATATTTGACAATTGGTAAATATTCAAAACCGAAGGTAATAAAACACAACATATCAAAATTCGTGCGCTAATAGCTAAAGCTGTGCTTAAAGAGAAATTTATAGCTTTAGTTGCCTATTTCAAGAAGAAAAAAGATTTAAGTCAGTTACCTAAACTTTCCAATTTAAGAAACTAGAAAAAGAAGAAACAGACCCTAAAACGTCAGGGAAATAATAGTGATAAGGAAACAGTAAATAAGAAATCAGACAAATAGTAGAAAAAATTTGATTCTTTGAAAAGTTTTAAAACTTCAGAAACTTAGTAAGACTAAGTTAGAAACTTAGTAAGACTAGTAAACTCAATAGTTTATTATAAAACAACAACAGAAACTTTACCTTGGCCAACTCTGAAATTTTACCAAAACCAGGCTTCCAAGAGGGAGCTGTGAATAGACGATCTTAAATCCACTTTGATGAAGCTGAGACTCTTCAGGAAAGTCTTCTTCAGCAATAGAGCACTTATTGTATCTCAAATCAGTGTTCATGAAGCAGAACCATGGTTTATTGTGATCAACTCTGGCTGCATCCTCACTTGACAACAATCTCCACTTCAAACAGCTGTCATTCTCACACTGAACCCACACTTTGTTTACGTACATACTGGTTTCCACTGAGGAATCCATTGAAGCGTTAGAATATTCTACTATTATCTTAACATCCAATTTTTCTTTTTCTATAAATGCATTTAATCTGGAAAACAAGAAGAAAAGAATAAAGAGTCAAGAATATAAGGAAAGAAAGTTCAAACTAAAATCAGAGAAACAGCTCTAGTATACCTTCTCTGTCCATATCTTCTCTATCCTATAAAGACTATACATTTTGAACAATTTATGTTTCCACCTACCCAGAAAGAAAGGAACAAAATAGGGCATCAATTGCTCTGGGCATAAAATGCTCAAAAATTAAAAATAATTTTTTAAAAAACAAATAAAAATAAGTATGACCATTTTTACAGAGAAAACTGAAGCTAACAAAAGTAATTTCTTAGAGGTCCCAGAGCTAGGATATGGTAGAGTCGGGATTTAAGGCAGACAGTTTTGTTCCAAATTCTGTGGTATTACCTACTAAGCTGTACTGCCTCTTGGGGATGTACGTGTATATATATATGTATGTATTTGTGTATATATATATGTATATGTACATGAAATGATGTGATAATCTTTCTTTTTCTAATTCTGAAGAAAATCAAAGGAACAAAGTATTTCACCATATGAAAGTTTAAAATCTGCTTCTAAAAACTAAAGGAAACTTTTGCTTATAGTTTTACCTTTTATCCATTAATTAAAGTGGTTTGAAAAAAACATTTCTCCAAGTATTTTGCTATAAAAATTTTAAACATACAAAACATCAGGATTGTATGACTAAGACTCCAACTTCTAGCTTCAATAATAATTATGTATGTACAAATTAATATAACTACAATAAAGTAAAAATATTAGCAATTTATTTTGCAATAAAAACCTATTTTAAAGAATGATGTCAATATACCATATTCAGGAGTTAGTAGAATACTACTATCCAATTATAAGCACCATTTAAACAAGCTCTTAATTCATGAGTTATTCATATGTTTAGAAACTCACTTATATTACAAGGTCAGCACAAATTGCTTTAGAAATTTGCCAACATATGCCAGTAGTGATAGTTCACATTTTTTTTACCTGTTAATACTGCTTGTGTGAATGTATTCACAGAAAATAAACTTATAAGAGACTATAAGTTTATAAGTCTACATATACAATGACCCAAGAATATTCACTGTTATACTTATTTATCATACTGGAAGAGTGGAAAACTCTAAAAACATGAAGACCAAATCTTCTGGAAGATAAATATAAAATTTTGTTAATATTAATTTATTTTTAATTTTTAATGTTTATTTTTGAGTGAGAGACAGTGAATGAGCATGAGCAACAGAGGAGCAGAGAGAGAGGGAGACACAGAATCTGAAGCAGGCTCCAGATTCTGAGCTGTCAGCACAGAGCCTGGCGTGGGGCTTGAACTCACCAACTCTGAGATCATGACCTGAGCTGAAGTTGGACGCTTAACCGACTGAGCCATTCAGGCACTCCATTAATAATATTAATTTAAAATTTCTGGTTAGTTATTTAACTGGTGAGGAACTTTATGAGAAGCAAGACTGCAATTTATATTGCAGTTGTAATGAGTAGTCTTCTCTATTCTCTGGGCCATCAGATGATACAGCAGAAGTTGCTGAGTTCAGGCTTTGGAGGCAAATTACATGTGAACTCTTGACTTGGCTACTCACCAGTTGTTCTTGAGCAAGACATTATTTTGCATTTTACATTTACATCACATTATGTGTTTTCCCCATGTGTGTGTGTGTGTGTGTGTGTGTGTGTGTGAGAGAGAGAGAGAGAGAGAGATTGACAGACAGAGTGTGTTTTGTTTATGTATTTCCAATCATTCTTTTACTATGCTAAGACAGGCATAATATTGAATAGATGCCATGAGAGTAAGCATGTTTTTCTAATTTCAAAGAGAATGGTTCTATTTGACTATAAAATCAAATATGTATATATTTTTTGGAGAGACCATTAAAAGGTTACCAGAATTTTTTCCTTCCATTACCAGTTTACTGTGAGGAATTTCTTTTTGTTAATCATGAAGTACAGTTGAATTTTATCAACTGCTTTTCTGTATATATTTAGGTAAACAAAGATTTTGTTAAGCCTGCTAATTGGGTATGTTATAATAATGAATTTACTAATGATAAACCATACTTGCATTCTAGGTAAACCCTACATTGTCAAGTGTTAGGAGAATTTTTTCTTAAACATATATTGCTGTATTAGGTTTATTAATAATTATTTAAGATTTTATATAATTTTGTATATAAGATTTTATTTAAGATTTATATATATAAACACATACATATATGTTTATAGAGGAGATTGGTCTAATAATTGCAATTCTTTTTTTTTGGTTTTGATATCAAGATTAAAACAGCCTCATAAAATGAAAAGCAGAATGTTCCCCCTTTTTGCAAAGTTTGCATAAAGGAGGAATTCCCAATTCTGCTATGCATCTAAGAATTCTGGTGTAGCTACTCTGTCTCTTATGTTTCTTTCACTCTGAAACTTGTTTATATCTTCTTTTTGCTTCATTTATCTTGTCTATACTTTTTAAACAACCAGAGTTTGAGTCTCCCCATTTCTTCTTCTTTTTAAGTTTTTATTTAAATTTTAGTTAATATAGTGTAATATTGGTTTTAGTAGAATTTAGTGAATCATCACTTACATCTAACACCCAGTGCTCATCACAATATGTGCCCTCCTTAATCACATCACCCATTTAGCCTATCCCCAGCTCACCTCCCCTCCAGCAACCCTGTGTGTTCTCTATACTTAAGAGTCGCTTATGGTTTGCCTCCCTCTCTTTTTTTTCTCCCTTCCCCTATGTTTATCTGTTTTGTTTCTTAAATTCTACATGAGTGAAATCATATGTTATTTGTCTTTCTTTGAATTATTTTGCCTAGCATAACACATCTAGCTGCACCTACATTGTTGCAAATGGCAAATTTTCATTCTTTCTATGGTTGAATAAGATACCATTGTGTGTGTGTGTGAGTGTGTGTGTGTGTGTGTGTGTATACATATTATTTCTTAGTTATCCATTCAGTAGTTGATGGACACTTGAACTCTTTCCATAGTTTGGCTATTGAAGATAATGAGATACCTTATGTCTTTTGATTGGAGCATTTATTCCAATTTACATTCAGAGTGATTATTGATAGATAAGAATTTAGTGCCATTGCATTACTTGTAAAGTTGGTGTTTCTGGAGATTTTACCTGTTCCTTTCTAGTCTTTGTTGCTTTTGGTCTTTCTTTCACATTCAAAAAGCCTCCTTTAATATTTCTTGCAGGGCTGGTTCAGTGGTCACAAACTCTTTAAGTTTTTGTTTGGGAAGCTCTCTCTCCTATTCTGAATGACAGACTTCCTGGATAAAGTATTCTTGGCTGCATACTGTTTCCATTCAGCATGTTGAATATATCATGCCACTCCCTTCTGACCTGCCAAGTTTCTGTGGAGAAATCTGCTGCAAATATTTGTCTTCCCTTGTAGGTTAAGGACTTTTTTTTCCCCCTTGCTGCTTTCAGGATTCTTTAACTCTGTATTTTGCAAATTTTATTACAGTATGTCTGGGTGTTAGCTGGCTTTTATTGATTTTAATGTGAGTTCTCTTCACCTCCTGGGTTTCAATGTCGGTTTCCTTCCCCAGATTAGGGAAGTTTTCAGCTGTAATTGCTTAAAAAAATTTTATGCCACCTTTCTCCTCTCTTCTTCTGAGACTCCTATGATACAAATGTTGTTATGCTTTATGGACTTTCTGAGTTCCTGAAGTTTACATTCATGATCCAATACTTTTATTTCCCTCTTCTTTTCAGCTTCATTATTTTCCATAATTTCATCTTGTATATCACTTATTCATTCCTCTGATTCTTCCATATTGATGGTCATTACTTCTAGTTGGCTTTGCATCTAGGTTACAGCATTTTTCATTCTGGCCTACTAGCTTTTAGTTCTGTTATCTCTGCAGTAAGGGACTCCCTAGTGTCTTCTTTCTATGCTTTTCTCAAGTCCAGCTAGTATCCTTATGATTGTTGTTTTAAATTCTGACTCAGGTAAATTACTTATATCTGTTTGACTATTCCCTGGCCATTACTTCTACCTCTTCTTGTTCTCTCCTTTGGGATGAACTCCTCCGTCTTGGCATTTTGTCTGATCTCTGTCTTCTCTGTGTTAGGAAAACCTGTTATGTTTCCTGCTCCTGAGAGTAATGGCTATATTAATAATATGTCATATACTGTCCAGGGTATGGTGCTTCAGGAAGTGTTTCGGTGTATGCTCTATGTGCTCTGCTGTTGCGGTTTGGCTGCTCTTTTCCTCAGATCAGTTCTCTGCAGAGTTTCTCCCTACCTGCAGTAGGGAGCATTTAGACCTTATCCAGTATCTGGCAAGTTTTAACTAGGTGTGTTTTGGTCTGCTTGTTAAAAAAGGCTAGATCCTATTTCCTCTAGAGCTGAAGCTTTGCAGCACTCTATGGCAAGTAGATTTAGGGCCTGCCAACAGAGGGTTTGGGCTGGTTTTGTGGGGGAGGAGCCCTCTTCAGCTCTGGCTCTCAGGCACATTTGCCCTTTGTAAAAGAAACAAACAAACACACCTGCAGAGCGCAGGGGGGCAGGGCCTGGTGTAAGTAGCTCAAGCCTCTACTGTGCGCATCGTGCCTCTCTCTCAAGTACGTCTGTGTTGATGGAAGGGGTAAAAATGGCACTCGCCTGTTCTAGTCCCTGGAGAGGGTAGTTCACGCCTGCCACTCTTCAGGAAGCCCTCACAGAAGAGTGAACAATCTCTCTTCTTGTGTCCCAGGCTTTCATCAGATCCCTGCCTTCACCCTTGTCTGCGTCCAAACTGTCCACCTTCCCAGTGGCACACTGCTCCTGTGTTTTATATTGGGTGTGCTGGCTGGGTTTCAAAACTCCAAACTTTAGGGACCTGGAATGGCATGGCACAAACCTCACTGATCCTCTGGGGGAGGAACATACCCTGCTTGGCTGGCTCCAGTTTGTCCCAGAAAAGCAGTTCCAAGGCTGCACAGGGATTTGGGAGTTTATGGTAAAGTGCAGTCAAAAGCTGGCTTTCAGGTTAGTTGCACTTAGCAGTGC